TGTGTGTGTTGGGAGGGCGGCCTTAATGCATCTAATGAGCACATTTCCGTTTTTCATTTTCCTCAGATGTTCAGTGGCTTCCATATGTTGCTACACGCAGCTTTGTTCATCCCGTTTGGTATTACTAACCTTGGGGTTGTCTTTGATGGAGGACATGTGTATCCACGGTATCTTTCGCTTGTGTTTATGTCTGAGATCCAATCTGGAATAGTTTTGGGATTGAGAGAGAGAGAGAGAAAGAAAAATAAGGAGGGGTGTGTGTGTGTGCGTGTATTTGTGTGTGTGTCCATGTCTAACAGAGATAGATGCCTGCCTATCAAGTAACCCTCTCCAGGAGGTGCTCCCTGGTGGGTTGGCTTCAGCTGGAAGACTCCCTTTTGTGACTGTGGTGTGTGCTGGTTGGCTTCCAGCCATCAGGAGACCTGTCAGATATGGTCAAGCAGGTTTGAACCATCTCCCATTCCATTTTCTGTGACAATTTTATTTTACTTTTTCTCTTTTTTCCCTCTGAGTTAGGGGTTGGCAGTCCTGTGTATTTTGGGGAAGGCAAGAGGGATGACACAGCTAAGTTTTTCCACAATGGCCATTTTGTAAGGTTTGTTTGTCATCCCTGTACATAACACTTCACACGTTTCCATAGTGTGGGGACAAAAAGAAAATACACATTCCATTTAGGAAGACCCCGAATCTCTGGTTCTACAGACCAGCTTTGGTAGATAAGATTAAAAATGTCATGAATGGTCCTTCTTCTCCCAGGAGATCGCTTGTTTGTACCAGCCATTGTCAGTCAGCACAGAGCCTGACAACAGCTGACTGGTGATGTGACCACCACAGTGGAGGAGCAAGAATTAAACAGTCCGAATTTATAAATCTCAAGCGTGTTCCTCCTTCCCACCCCCAGTACACACCTGGCTGAGGACTGCCTTTGTGTCTTTCTGAGTCAAAAGAGGAAGGTTTGCTACTCAGCAGGCAAAAGCAGTATTTCAGCTCCATTGTGAAGTAGTTGCCAGATGCCATGTACGTCCAGAAAGACCACCATTGTTTTATTCGTATTTTTCATCATTACGCGGCTGTATTCAGACTGAAAACTCTTAACTATAATTAAGCAGTACATGCTTGTATTTATCTTGAAAAAGTACGTAAATTGTTTGCCTTCAGCATTCCCCTCGTACCCAAGAAAGTGTTACAGATGCTCTTGCTTTTGTAAAATTTTTATAAAGGCTGGTAAGGTGACATCCATAATACTTTGGAAGTAGGATGAGATGTAGTATTGTTGTGCTTAGAAGAAGATCTTCCACAGGCTTTCATGCTTTGCAAAAGGTCAAAACCCAGGCAGTGCTCTCTATCTCTACAGCTTTTTATGAGGGACGGCTGTGGGTGCGGTAGAAATGAGGCTGTAGGCCTGTAGACTATAGGCTTTTACTTCAGAAATTTTCTAAGATAAATCACTTCTAAAAAATCTTGGAGAAGACTGTCAATATGATATGCTTTTGTGCTGGAAAGACCAAAAGAGGATGGAGGGGAGGATGACAAAACAATCATTCATACTTAAGTAAGATGAAATTATCGACCGATGCTTAACAACCCTGACTTTTTTTCCCTGAAAGTAAAATTTCTTCTGTGGTTTTGTTTTTCCCAACAGCACCATCATCCATTGCTTTGGTCCAGGCTAAAGAAGTAACAAGATACAGTGTTGCATTGGCTTGGTTGGAACCAGATCGGCCCAATGGGGTGATCTTGGAGTATGAAGTCAAATATTATGAGAAGGTATTACTTGATTGAGCAAGATGGTCCCTCCTTTCCTTCTTGCCTCCCTCCCTCCCTTTCTTTCTTTCTTCTCTGTTTAGGTTTTGGCCAGTTAGAAATCCTGGTATGCCAGTGAATTCCAGCCAAATCAGTTTGCTTCCCAATCAAACCCAATTATGAATTTTTATGCATTCAGTTAGTTATTTTGAAAAATAGAAAATAGGACATTGCATTCTAATGCAGCTACATTTTTTTTTTCCTAGTAATGGAAATCAAATAGCTAAGAAATTCTAATCTATAAGCCTTATTTCGGGGCTGCTGACTCATAACCACCGTAATGATCAGCTGTTTAAGTAGATAGCTTCTATTCAGAATGAAGGTGTGGGTTTTGATGACTTTTAATAGAAAATCAGGGAGGGAAAATTACATTCTTCAGCCTCTTGAAGTTGTAGAGAGGCATTATTTTTACAAATAACTTGTCTCTCTTAAAGGACAGAATTCCGAAGAGAGCTCTTTGCATTCAGGGTTGTCTAGAAAGTGAACAATTGCCTTCTCTTTCTTTTTAAACATTATCGCATATTGGCTTCCTTATTAAAAGCAGAAAAAGCACAGAATTTTTTTTTTTTTTTTGATACCAGATTTTACTTGACATTTTCAAGACAGAAAATAGAAAAAGACGAGACTTTCTTACAGTTATTTCTGTTAAATTGCTGGGTGTGGAGTGAGCAAAGCCACCAACTATCTTTTAATGTTCTTTTCAGAAAGAATTATGAGTATAGATCTGGATATGGTCAGTGTCAACAAGATTGTACTTGAAGTTGTCAGATCTTTGGCCGTCTAAGAAGTAGCAGTAGTACTTACAGCATTGAAGAGAATGTGGGGTTGAGAGTTTATCAGTCTCCATTTACCTTCAACTTTTGAGTAGACTGGCATGGCTCCTTTAATACTGTGTCTAGAGTGAGTGGAGTCTTTATTTTACCACCTTCCACAATTTCGTCTTCCTGTCATGTAGGATCAGAATGAGCGAAGCTATCGCATTGTCCGGACGGCTGCCAGGAACACAGATATCAAAGGCCTGAACCCTCTGACTTCCTATGTTTTCCACGTGCGAGCCCGGACCGCTGCTGGCTATGGGGACTTCAGTGAACCTCTGGAGGTCACAACCAACACAGGTAACTGGGCTGTCCAGACTTGACTCCAGAGCAAATCCCATTGTAGTAAAATGTAAGGAGCTGTGTGCAGTTTTAACATCGCCAATGTCTGTAATTTAGAAAACCTCATACTATTTAGAGAAGAATATTTTTCATCCCAGTGTCTGACCTCTTTTTATGTAAATGAAAAATGTTGTCTCTTTTTCTCTTGTTTTGAGCCTTTTGTAAACCATGTAAAATGGGATTACTAAACTGACTAATTGAGGGTTGCATAGCCACCCACCCTACATTAAGATAAGGAGTTTTCTCCCATAGAAGATTAAAGACCTGGCTTTACATTTTTTTTTCCCTACTATTTTTTTTTCTGGGAATCTGTTTAAATAAACTCAGATGATTGTTCTGATGTTTTTTTTGTTTTTTAATCCCCTTTGGACAAATATATCAAATCTTTCAACATATTAAGGTAGATCAACTGTTTGGTTAGGTGAAAAATGTTTAGAGGGCCTATTCATGGACAAGCAGTTTATATAAGATATTCCCTCCTCCATAACTGCCAATCCCAAATTTGGCACACTTCATAAAAAGGTGGATGGGGCAGAATTTTTGACATCAGCTCTAGAAATTTTAATCTACAATTTGTTTATTAATGTTATTCATAATTTATTAAATAAAACAAGAATTTTCAAAAGCAGATTTAAAAAAGTACCCTAGAATGGAATCCTGAAGGGGATTAGCATGCTTTGGGGTTATCCTGGAAGGCTTCAAGAAGGAAGTGGCTTTTGAACTGGACAGCAAGAGGCAGGTTTTCCATAGTTAGAGAGTTGAGCATTTCAAAACTCCTTCTCTTTTCTGAAATTTCCAAGTCACTAAAGACTGCATCAGAGCATTATGTATGAGTTAGGGCTAAGGGGTAAAAAAGAAAAGAAGAAAGAAAAAGCAATGAGTGGGAATGTTTACCATGGGATTTAATAAGAGATGAGAAGAAAGCAATCTTTCTTCTTCTGGCTGAAATTCTTCATACAGTTATAAAAAGATTGTCTTCATCTCATTAAGGCTGTCTTAGAAAATGCTGTTGAATAAATATGAAGGGCAAAAGAGGCTGTGAGCATTCTGAATGGCTTTAGAAAGGGAGAAATTGTGACCCAATCGGAAGTTCTACCTCCTAAGACCTTCGCCAAGGTGACCCTTGTGTAACTGTCGTTTCTAGTGCCTTCCCGGATCATTGGAGATGGGGCCAACTCTACAGTCCTTCTGGTCTCCGTTTCAGGCAGTGTGGTGCTGGTGGTCATTCTCATTGCGGCTTTTGTTATCAGCAGGAGGTGAGCACTTAAGCTATTCATGGACCCCGCCCCCAACCCCTGTCTTTATGAGGGAGCTTTTTGTCTCCTTCACACAAAGCTGAGGCTTTTGATTAGCATTATAAACATAACATTTGCATCACAAGCTCATTCCTTGTTGCTTTGATCTTTCCACATCCCGACTGGGGCTGCCTGTGGTACCCAGTGGTGGTCCTCACAGCCAACTCCTGGAAAAGCCCAACTAATTCCAGGAAACCAAGCTGAAAAAGCAAACCAGGGAGAAATTTCTAGATACTCTAATCTCGGCTATTAAAAAAACAAACAAAAAAAAAAAAACACTGCCGTTGAGTCGATTCGGCCTTATAGCGACCCTATGGGACAGAGTAGAACTGCCCCATAGGGTTGAATCTCAGCTATAAGGTGTTACATTATCCCTCTTTGAAACCTGGACCAACTGTCAAAGACAAGAAATGTCAGGATAGAACTTCAGCCAATTTGAGCTCCGCCATTTGCCAGCTATGTTACTTAACCTTTTTGGGTCTTCGTTTCCCTTTTATAAAGTAGGGATAATTGTATCTGCCTCAAAGGGTTACTGGCAGGAGAATTATGCTAAACAACGTAGATAATACAGCACATAGAAAGAGCTTTAACATGATATTTATGAATAATAATGGTAACTGAAACAAATAAATAGGTGTTATAGGCTCAGTCTCCCTTCAAGAGAGGGCATTTTCATTTCCAGAGAATATCCATTCAGCACATTGTGGGCATGGCATTGCTCTTGGAAGTGAATCTAAAACAGCTTGATACTTGAAAAACAATCTAAAAGAGAAAGAGAGAGATGAAAATGGCTTGGCAGCATTATTCTTGTATACCAGATTTTCCTATTGTTGCCACCATCTACATATTGACACTGCCTAGAGGCTCCAGAGGAATCATGGAGGTTTAGCTACTCTTCATCAGTATGCGCCCCATGCCTAGGCCTTTGTCTCCAGTGTGTGAGAATCTGACCCTTCCTCAGCCTTCACCCTGATATAGCCATATCTCTGTGTTTCTAGGCCCCCTAAAACTTGCTTCACAAGGTGGACTTTTTGGTAAAAATGAAGGCACAATGGGGTATCAAGATGATCCTCTAAAATATATACCTTTTCCTGTAATGGAAGTAGAAAGTGACACTCAGAAGGATACATTGACTTGTCCAGAGTTGTTGTATTGCCGCCGTAGTAGAGCTTGACCTCCCATAGCCACATTTGACTCTCAGGCCAGTGTCTGCGACATCGTCCCTCTCTGCCTCTCCTGCAGTGATCTCACTGTTGTCACGATGGTGCTTCAGGCTATTTCCATGGGCTTGGGCAAGCCACCAGCTTTTCCCTCAGTCTGTAGTACGTTATAATTAGGGTGTTGTCCATACATCCCTGTTTACCTGGATGGTCCCAGTTGTCACATGTATTTATTAATAGTATGCTCCCACCCTTTATTCTCCAGAATGCCCTGCTTTATAGAGATCAATTGTGGTCACTCATTTTAACACATCTGGAACAATTCCTCATTCTATGCGTGCATCTACATTTATCATTGTGTTCATTCTTTTTGGTGCAAAATCTATAACTAGGTGTTCCGTCTGGAAGAAGTTAAATTTACCATAAACACCCCTGTTGCAGTAATATATACATATAGTTTCATGCATATATATAGACATACATAGAGACATACCTGCTTTACCCTACCAGTTGCCATTGTGTTCATTCTGACTCACGGTGACCCTATGTGTGTGTCAGAGTAGAACTGTGCTCCATAGGGTTTTCAGTGGATGATTTTTCAGTTGATCTCTAGGCCTTCTAGGCATCTCTGGGTAGACTTGAACCTCCAACCTTTTGGTTAGCAGCCAGATGAGTTAGCTGTTTGCACCACCCAGGGGCTCATGCTTCACACCCTCTATGGTAGTATATCTCGGCCTTTGGAAACTTCAATTGGGCTGAATAGAAATTGAATTTCCAATGTTTGTTCCTTCCCTGACATTTGATTTTGGAAGCCGATCAAGATGACTGTCTTCCTTGTCCCTTGCCATTTGACTTTGTGTACACATGTACTCTCTGTGCATACACACATGGAGAAATGTATGTGCTACTATATATCCATCTTGGGGTGCATGTGTGGGCCGGCGGGGTATGTAGAACTTACATATTTCTGTGTTTGAAATGTTTCCCATGAATATAAACAAACTTTGTTATCAGAAAATAAAGATGTTTAAATATCTAAAAATAGAAAAAAAATTACCTCCACCACCACCCGAAAAAAAAAACTTGACTAAAATCCAATAATGTGTGATGCTAAGAACCAGGCGGGAGGACACTTCTTTGCAGAAAGTGAGTCTCATCTTGTTTTTGGACCATCTCTTGAATATTGGTTGGAAACATTATCTAGTTGTAGTCCACCTTCTTTTAGATTTACTTTTATTATTGTTATTATTTTCAATTTTAAGTGGTTCTAAATACAGCAGTCAAGCAGGGGTAGTTAGAAATAAGTCATCCTTATGATAATAGGTTTTTTTTTTTTTTTTTTTTTTAAGACTATTCTGCTTAAACCCTTTGGCTCTAGCAAAAAGAAAGGAAAAATCACGTGAATATGTAATGCAGGGGACAAGTTTGTTAAAAGCGGTGGCTATAGAAAATAGCATCGCCAAGCTTGATGACTTAATTTCCTTTCTGCTTTTATTGATCACTTTACTATTTAAGGCAGGATTGATAGCAGGATGCATTGGATTTCCAATTATGAGTCCTGCCTTAGAGAATTGAGCCTGTCGAGTTACCCAGTGATGATTCCTGTCCCTTCTCCCCCATTAAAAAAAAAAATGTCAGTTCCCAAGGCTGATAAACACTGCTTGGTGATTGGTCCTCAATGGATCACTTTTTAGAAAATGAAATGTCAACCCCTTGCCCTCATATTGATTCTTCTATAGTGTCGGCCATAAAGCTGTCATGGGAAATGCTGCCTGGAGCCAGGTAGCTGACAAGCTTCACAGTGGCTGATGCACACTCAGCCAATTCTTCTCCCCTCTTGGCTGTCTGATTCATTGTCTTGGACTGCAAATGTTTAAATGGGACAAGAACAGATGACGACGAGAGAGGAGACAGGAAGTGGGGACAAAAGTCTTACCCAAACTTTTAGCGAGTACAAGCGATGGGTGGTAGATGTTGTAGTTGTTGGCTGCTGTCCAGTCGATTCCGACTCAGGGTGACCCTGTGTACCACATAAGGAAACATTGCCCAGTCCTGCACCATCTTCACGATCATTAGTATGCATGAGTCTATTTTTGTGGCCACTGTATATTCTGAATGGCTTCTAACCTAGGGGGTGCCTCTTCCAGCAGTGTATCAAACAATAGTCTGTTGTGATCTACAGGACTTTCACTGACTAATTTTCGGAAGCAGATTGCTACACCTTTCCTCCTAGTCTGTCTTAGTCTGGAAGCTCTGCTGAAGCCTGTCCACTGTGTATGACCCTACTGGTATTTGAAAGACTGTTGGCATAGCTTCCAGCATCATAGCAACATGCAAGCCACCACAGTATGACAAACTGACAGATGGGTAATGGAGGTGGTAATGGTACCCTTGAAATAATCTTGTGGACTTCAGCCAACAGTCTCCTGGAAAGCAACAGATTAAACAACCTAATTGGCTAAATCTGAGTCATGTCTTTTGCTGATGGGCTGCTTCCCTTTTCTTAGAGCCACAGAATGTTGATGCCAGAATGAATATGAGAGACAGACCCCTGTGGGATGAGTCCCCTCGTACTGAATCACATGCTGCTGATGGTGTGTGAGATTTTTTTCAAGAGGTAGATGGACAGGAACACATAGTGAGAAAAGTTTTCCTTTATCAAGCCCATTTCAGTCCTTTTGATTACCTCACCCAGGAAGTCCTTTTGGTGCTAATTTGTCTTTTAAGAAACAGAAAACAGCTGCAGGCTCACAGTTGGTATCTTGATAGATTCTTTCTACAGCAATTGTTTTATTTATTTCGTATTCATTCTAACTGTATAAGCCTGAGCTCACGGCAAGGCAGAGTAGAGCAATTTCCAGTTTCTTCAGTGAGAAGACGCACTTTTTTCTTTGCGGCAACTTGGACGTGTAGGCACTTAGGAATCTCAGAGAAAGATTCAAGCAACTAAATTTATAAACTTTATATGTTTAAAATGATAGATTATATAAAGTACATTGATTTGGACATATTATATATTTTTACCACTCACATTATGTTAAAAATGTTTATTTACATTTTTTTTTTATAGACATCTTTCTGATCAGTATCTTCCTCATCACACTAATTATAATGTCAGGATTCTTTCACTGTTTTCCAGAGCAAATCACTGTACTTGCTATCTAGGTTGTTTACGGTACAGACTTCTGGTATTGGTGTCATGCAGTCCCTAGAAATTTTATCCTAAACCACAAGTGCCCATTTTCTTAGCAGCAAGATGTTGCTTGCCAATTCTTCTGTAGGATCTGTTTGTGATCTCTACATTGTAACCACTTTATTGCTTTTTTCCAACTGATCTTTAAAACGGCTGTTGACAAAGACATAAAATGCAATAATAAGGTCATAACCTTCATGACTAATGATTGAATCTCTGCTAAATTTCTCTGACATCCTCCCCTTTTTATTAACGATTCCAACTGGTTACCTCCAAAAGCATCCCAAACTAGCAATAGTTCAGGTTGTTGTAGGCTACTGTGTCTTCCCCAAATAGTACTGTATTGGTCCAGTATGAGAAAAAAAAAATAAAAATAAAATAAGGACTAGAATACAAGATGACTTCCTCTTTTCTAAAGGACATTTGGGGGTCAGAACAGGTATTACCCTGTAACCGGTCGTGTAGCTGCTTTTAGGTTGCTGTTCGTTGCCGTGGAGTCACCGCTGACTCATATGACCCCACATACAGCTGAACAAAATGTTGTCTGGTCCTGTATCATCTTCATGATTGTTGCTATTTAAGTTCATTGTTTCAGCTACTAACTACTT